TGGCGCTGTGGCTCAAGTGGTAGAGCGCTAGCCTTGAGCTGAAGAGCTGAGGGACAGCGCCCAGGCCCAGAGTTCAGGCCCCATGACCAGACCCAAAATTAAAATAAAACAAAATAACTAAAACAAACCAGGTGCTGGTGGCTCACACCTGTAAAACTAGCTTCTCAGAAGGCCGAGACCTGAGGATCATGGTTCAAAGCCAGCCCAGGCAGGAAAGCCCATCAGACTCTTATCTCCAATTAACCACTGGAAAACTGGAAGTAGAGCTTTGGCTCAAGGTGGTAGAGGGGGTTAGCCTTGAGCACAAAAGCTCAGAGACAGAGCCCAGGCCCTGAGTTCAAGTCCTATGATTGATAAAAAAAAAAAAGTAGGTAATTAATTTTAAAAAGTAAAACAGAAAGTAAAAAAGGGATATGACTCCCCTGCTTAGCAATCACTAGGCCCTGAGTCCAAACTCCAATACTTCCAAGAAAAGAAAAGGAAACAAGCTAAACTCCACACCCCCCAGTGTAGACATTCAACTTCTGCAAGTCCACAGAGACCACAGTTAAGAAGGTAAATCAACCTGGGCCGGCACTGTATTCTTTTTTTGTTGTTTTTTTGGTAAGTCATGGGGCTCACACTCTGGGCCTGAGTGCCATCTCTGAGACTCTTCACTCAAGACTCGTTAGCGCTCTACCACTTTAGAGCTATAGTGCCACTTCCGGTTTTCTGGTGGTTAATTGGATAAAGAGTCTCATGGATTTTCCTGCCTGGGCTGGCTTTGAACTGTAATCCTCAGATCTCAACCTCCTGAGTAACGAGGAGTATAGGCGTGAGCCACTGGCACCTGGCTCATCCAGCATTTCCAGCATGACACTGTACTCTCCTCTCCTGTCTCCCTCCTCACCCGACACGCACAATTTGGTTTGTTCTTCACTTTCCTGTGCTTACCTCTTTGGTCACTGAAGAAGAAAAGAGAAGAAACTTCACCCCTTTCATGGGCTCGCCATCGCTCCGCACGGAGCCAGACACATTGTAGCCAGCGACTATGAGGGGCCCGGCAGCGTTGGCATTGGAGTTGGTTACACGCACTGTGGTGCTCGCCTAGAGAAGAAAATCAAAGCGTTAGCTTCCAGAAACCAAAACCCAGTTAAGTGTCTAACAGCACAACAACATGCTTAAGCTAAATAGGAACTAGGAAGAGACATACACAGACGGTAAAATTCCACCTGTGGTCCTCCCTCTGAGAGTATGCACGGGGGACAGGTTCCAGGACCCCCATCCAAACCCACAGATACACAAGCCGGCTCAGTGTCTGCGGGCAACCTCCTTACACCAGCCCCGCTCCCCGCATATGCCTGAGTCATCTCTATGCTACTTAGAATCATGGATACGCTGTGACCATCATGGAAAGAATCATACTGCAAAAAAACACGTCTACGTGTGCAATTTCTTTTCAAATGCTTTCAGTGTGCAGTTGGGTGACTCGGAGGCTGGTTCCATTGATGGGTGTAGAAATTGCAGCCGGGAACTCCAACTCTACAGTATAGTTGCAATCACCCTTAAGGGTATTTTTTGAGACAGGGTCCGGCTATGTAGCCCAGGCTGGGCTCAAACTCACAATCTCCCTCCTCAGCCTCCCAAGTGCTAGAAAAAAGGGTATACCATGGCAACCAGGTTTTCATGCCCAAAGGAGTACCGTCAAACCCCCTTCCTCACCTCTATATTACAAATGTAGTGTTTGCTAGTCCCAAGCATATCTTTGTAACTATTCTACATAAGCCACGTCTGTAAGCGGCATAGCACAAATGTTTACAACCCCATTTCCTTCCGCTTTGTTCTGAAATGTGCTTACCCTGTGCTACGCGTGGCTGTGGCTCACGGGTCCTCCTCTTAGTGGGACCTGAGCTGGTTCCCCACAGTTTGCTATTAATGGCAATAAACATTCTGTGCCGTTTGTCTCTCTAGAGTTCTATCTCAGAGAGGACGACACATCTCCCCAGGTGTTCCCAGTGTTGATTTAGATCAAAAGAGCCACAGCTCTCCAGCAGGAAGACAACACTGTCATGTGCCATAAAAACCAACACCAGAGCCCCCACTAGCGCCAGACATCTGCCTCGTAAACATCAGGGCTCTTCATCCACATCTGGAAAACCGCCAATTCTCTTCATATGCACACTGGAAGCCCCACATGTGTCCCAGACTCACATGTTATGGGCGTGGCGAAGAGACACTTCAAACACTCACCTCTTTCAATGCCCAAGTCGGATGAGTCGCGAGGATTTCGTAATCACCAGGAAGAACTTTAAAAAATGCAAACCTAAGAAACAGAAAACACAACTTAACTATCTCCATACCACCAGAGTAGTTCTCATTTTAGGATGAATGTGGGCAGCACAAGAAAGTAATATTGGAATTCTCGCAACTTCCTGTTAAGGAGCTCAATGATCATGAAGGCCTGGGCGCCTGCTGAGTGCCCCCTGGGCTCAGGAGGGGAAGGCCTTTCCTTTCCCCTGCGCAAGTGCAGAGAACATCCAGTGAGGCCTTGAGAAGGAGGGTGGCGGGGGAGGGGAGAGGTGGTTGTAAAGAGACCAGGTCAGCAGACGTTGACACAAGACACTGAGGATACGGAGACAACAAATGGTGACAAGCTTTGAAACCTAGTTGGATCTGCTCTCTGGGCAAATTCCATCAGCCTCCACTTCATTTCCAGAGCAACCCTGCACCACAAGTCCCTGTCCCAGGTTCAGTTAGCACCAGGCACAGTTCACAACCAGCTGCAAGTTAATCTGACCACCTGAAGTCCAAAATGTCCCCAAATCCAAAATATTTGGTATGCCAATATACTGCCACAAGAAAATTCCGCACAAAGTTTGCTCCATGCTTATACAAAATTTTTACTAAAAATACTGTGTTCAGATTACCTTCATCTATGTGCATAAGGCATATGTGAAATGTTAGATCTGGGTCCCCTCCCCAAGACTTCAGTACAGTCTGGATCTGGAATGCCCCTCCCAAGGCCCAATTGTTGAAGGCTCAGTTCTCAATGTATGCTCAAAGGTGGGATTTGGGAAGTAACTGTTCTGAGGGCTCTGACTTTATGAATGGATTAATCCGTTGATGGATTCACAAGTGGACCAATGGGAGATGGTAGAAACTGGGGAAGGAAGTGGGTTCCTGGGGCAGGGACTTGGGGGAGGGGAGATCTTGTCCCCAGCCTCTTCCTGTCTCTGTTTCTCTCCGCTTCATGGCTGCCAGGAGGTGAGCAGCTCAGCCCTTCCAAACCCTCCTACCATAAATCTCTACCTCACTTCCGGCCCAGAAGCAATGGAGCCAAGAGATCACTGACTGATTCTGTGATTCACAATAAATTCTCCCTTAAAGCATTCACACCAGGTATTTTGTGAGCGGTGAGAAACTAACTACACTATGTATGAAAATACCCCAAACTTGAAAATTTTCCATAGTCCAAATTAGTTCTGGTCCCAAGTATTTTGGAATCTATACTAGTGCAGGGGGAAAAAAAAAATCTCAGTTCTTTCTTCCTCCTACAAATGGAGAGTCATCAATGGGTATAATGAAACATTACTGAAAAAACGAACACTAATTTCAACCATAATCATTTTAAATTGGATAACTTACTGACAAACTCATTCTAAATTTCTATTCTGCCATTTTATTAGTTTAGTGTATTGAAGGAGTTAGTAATGATTTGAATGTTTTCAAACTCGGCAGTTACAACCACTCGTATTAATCTTAGCACATCTGTTAACATTTACAACTCAACGATATACATCCACTAAATAAATGTTTGAATTTCTACTCAGCAAGGTTAATTAAGTAATCATCAGTTCTGACAACAAACGGTTTTGATGGTAATGGTGATAAAAGGGTGTGTTTAAATCATAACGAGCTAACCTATGTTGAGCAAACATTTATTAAACATGTACTTCTGAAGTGACACCAACTCCGTCTTCCCAGCAATCTTAGAGGTGAGTTCCACGGTTCCCTCATTTACAGATGAGGAAAGTGAGGCTCAAACAGAAAATAAAGGAGCCCAGATTTAAACCGGGGTAGGCACAAGGCTCCAGAGTTCCAGAGCTAAGGGAAAGCCTAGTGCCCAGCCTACTGGAATAAACAAATCAGGGTCTGAAGGCAGGATCCCTAAACCCCAAATGTCCCCAATCTGCCTCAGCCCAGCCCGGCTCCGGCTTCACAGCTGGGCTCGGTGTACCCCCAGCCCCTCCACCTTTGGTCCCACTCACTTTCCACCAGGCTGCGTGACGGTGGACTGGATCTTCCCCTCGGTGCCCGTGCCCCTCAGGGATACCTGAACCCCTGCAGGGCCCAGGGGCTGCCCTCTGCTGAGGACCTGCATGGAGAAGCAGGTAAAGAAGAGGAGGTTATGAGGAGGTTAGGGTGGCAGAGCAGAAGCCTCCCCCTCCCAACGTCCCCACTCCTGCATGTGGCTCCTAGACAAGTTCTTGTCTAGGCGCAGGACTCCTTTGAAAAGGCAACAGAAAACCCTAGAACCTTTTCCAAGAAGGGGAGGGAGAAGACAGTAGAATCACAGCTGACTGTAAGATGCCATTGGTTTAAGATGCCATGATATTTCACAAATCACTGGAAGAATTACCCAAGATCCCACCAAACCCACACCCAGAGTGGGGACTGGGGGCTCCACAGCTAGCACAAAAGGGCAGACGCCCACCGAGGGGCCATGACAGACAGGACACCTGCTCCTCTCAGCCCTGAGCGCAGGTGGAAGAAAAAAAGAAATGCTGTGCTGAGGGCGGTGCCAGTCGCTCACGCCTATAATCCCAGCTCCTCAGGGGGCTGAGATCTGAGGACTGCGGTTTGAAGCCAGCCCAGGCAGAAAAGTCCCTGAGAGACTCTTATCTCCAGTGAACCACTCCAAAACCGGAAGTGGCACTGTGGCTTAAGTGATAGAGCGCTAGCCTTGAGCACAGAGAGGCTCAAGGGCAGCGCCCAGGCTCTGAGTTCAAGCTCCACAACTGACAGAAAAAGAAAAAGAAGAAGAAATGCTATGCTGAGAATCTTGGCCCGGAACAGGGGTTTGCATGGGCCAGCACCCCAAATTCAGTCTTCCCAGGTGTACGAGGACCCCTGAGAGAGCTCAGCTGCCCTCTGAAGCTTCTCTGAGTGAAGGGAGAAGCTCCCTCTTTGGTCCCCCACAGTGGAGACAATGGACTGGTGGTGAGAGCACTTCCTCAATTCCACATCCCTGCCGTATCTCAGGCCCACGGACAGCCAGCACCCCAAATCTGACTCCTAAAACCTCAGTTCTGCACAACACGGTGCAGAACCTATCAATACCCCCAACTCCAAGTTTGTCTGTGGTCTCTGCGGGGTCCAGCCCCTTGCTTTTCCAAAGATAAGGAGAATTGTTTGTTTGTTTTGTTGTGGGGCTTACACTCAGGGCCTGGGTGCTGTCCCTTAGCTCTTCAGCTCGAGGCTAGCACTGTACCTCTTTGAACCACAGTGCTACTTCTGGTTTTCTGGTGGTTAATTGGAGATAAGAGTCTTACAGACTTTCCTGCCTGGGCTGGCTCTGAACCAGGATTCTCAGACCTCAGCCTGCTGAGTAGCTAGGATTATGGGTGTGAGCCACCAGTGCTGGGCTGGTGAGGATACTTAGTGTCTGTCACAGAGCGGCTATGAGAGGGGCAGAGATTGGAAGCAGAACCTTTCCATTCACAGAGAAGCCGGTGAACACAAAGTTGATGTCGCCACCCTTGGTGCAGATGTCACTCACACCATCCACGTACAACTCTACACTCGTGGGCTCTGAGGAAAGAGGCAGGGACAAGAGGGACAGGGTGAGAAACTAAGGTCAGCTTTAGGTCTGGGGCACAGTGAGATTCAGCCACCGTTCATGCCAGGCAACTTCATTTACGCTCAAATACTTAACATGTTCTCATGATTCAAACTCTGAAAGTACAAGGAAAGTTCCCCTCACTGCCCCGCCCCCCAGCCACTGGTGCCAAGCCCTTGAAGAAGCCAGTGTCGAGCCCAGACAGCCTAAAAAGTCTTTTGGCTGGGTACTGGGAGCTCATGCCTGTCATCTTAGCTACTCAGGAGGCTGAGATCTGAGGATGAGGGTTCAAAGCCAGCCCAGGCAGAAAAGTCCATGAAAACACTTATCTCTCAAGTGATCAACCTTAAGCACAAAAGCTCAAGGACAGTGTCTGTGCTGTATTCAAGCCCCAGGAACAGCGCACACGCACACACACAAACACACACACACATACACACACACACATACACACACTTTCAAGGATGGGTGGAAGTAGTGGTATATGCCTGTAATCCCAGCACCTGGGAGGCTGACATAGAAGGATCAAGATTCAAGGCAGCCTGGGATGTGTAGGAGATCCTGATTCCAAAACTAACAACCACCCATGGGACAAAAAAAAAAAACCTGAGTCCTAGGCTATTGGGCCTGTATAATGAGTAAAAGCACGTAGGCAGAGTTTCCAAAGGGAGGCTCAGCACACACTTTAGGAAAGATGACAGGCAGCCTATAGGAGAGCTAAGTAAATTCAAACTCAAGTCACAGCAGAAATGAAGCCTGCGTGTGTTACTAGTCCCGGCACACGGCCAGTCCAAAGAACGTTCAGCAGGAAGCGTGGCCCTTTACCAACTGCAGCTGGCTACTCGGCAAGCTTACCGAAACTCCACCCCAGGGGAGGCTCAATCTTCAGAATGAAATCCCCCTGGAAGGGAAAAAAGAGAGAAACTCAGAGGAGCAAGAGCTGATGGTCCCAATTAACGTATTTCCACGGTATCATCTAAACTAAAACTTGCTCCTGAAAATAAAATTTTTTTTTGTTGTTGTTGTTGGTTGTGGGGCTTGAACTCTGGGCCTGGGCGCTGGGCACTGTCCCTGGCTCTCCAGCACAAGGCGGGCCCTCTACTGCTTGAGCCACAGCGCTACTTCCAGTTTTCTAGTGGTTTATTGGAAATAAGAGTCTCACAGACTTTCCTGCCCAGGCTGGTTTTGAACCACGATCCTCAGATCTCAGCCTCCTGAGTAGCTAGGATTACAGGCATGAGCCACCGATGCCCAGCTGAAAATAAAATTCTATGTGGAAGGGCTGTTCAAAATGTGGTAGTTCCTGCATTCCAGCTGACAAATTTCCACCCAGCCATTAGAAGAGGCTGCACTGAAGGCCACTTATGCATTCTAGTGGTCAGGTGCAATGGCTCATGCCTATAATCCCAGCTACTGGGGACTGTGTGATCTGAGGATGGAAATCTGAAGATCATCTGGGCAGACAAATCCTAGGGAGAGTCTTAAGCCAAAATGGAGGTGTGGCTTAGGTGGTAGAGCACCAGCTGTAAGCAAAAAAGCCAAGTAGGAGCTCAAGGCTCTGAATGGAAGCTCCAAAAAAATGAATTAATTAATGATAAAAAGGAAAGGGAAAGAGGAGGAAGGAGAGAGATGGGAGAGGGTTGGGGAAGGAAAAGAAGAAAGGGGAAAGCTGGGCACAGTGCTACACGCCTGTCATCCCAGCTACACAGGAAGCAAAAACTGGAGGATCACAGGCCGTTCAGGCCAGCCCATGCATAAACATGAGACCCTGTTCCAAAAGCACTTAAAACATAAAGCGCTCGGGGCATGGCTCCATTGGTAGAGCTCCTGCCGTGCCAGGCCTGAGGTCCTGAGTTCAAATCCCAGTACTGCCAAAAATTAAAAAAAAGAAGGAAGGAGTATTTCCTGGTGTGGGGAAGGCCTTGCTGCCTAGATCACGTGATTCTCGTTCCCGGTCATAAAGACGCGCCAGGGGACTAAGGAGGCCGCTCCTCTTACCTTATCATACAAGGGTATCATAAAATAGCCGTTGTTAGGGGCGCAGTCTGTCTGGTATTTCAAAGTCCCATGCTTGGTGTACAACTTTATCTGGAAAGGAAAGAAAGGAAACAGAAGTTGAGATAACACACCTTTGAGAGCTAAGTGCATTCCATCAACATGTGTATGTGTTCACTGCGGGACTTACACAGCCGTCAGTTCCCCCCCCCACCCCCCCACCCCCCGGAAAACACTGGCGCTCAAAGGCATCACAAGCCTACCCCTCTCTAAAGGACTCGCTCTGCAGTCTGCCTCAGGGGCCACCTCTTTTGTTCACTAGTGGTTCTGGATCTAAGACAAATTTGCAGACAGCACTGTTTGTAAGGTGCTTGAGTTGAGTTCCTGACCTGCCTCATCTTCTCAACCAGAGGGTCTGGGACAAGAGCTGCGGGGGGGGGGGGGGGGGGGGGAGGCTCTGCATTATCTGCCCCCAATGATTTCATCTGCTCAATGAGACATTCACTTCAAAACTCAATTTCCTCTCCCCTGCCATCGGATCCTGCCATCTGAAAGCTATGTGTCAACTCTTTGTCCTGAGCATTTGAGACACAATCTATCCACACAATAGACACAGTATCTAGCCTTCTCCATGCTAGGGGCCCCCCAACATGTCATTTCAGGCCCAGTTTCTTTTCTTTATTTTTTGTCAGTCATGGGGCTTGAACTCTGGGCCTGGGTGCTGTCCCTCTTGAGCTCTTTAAAGCTCAAGGCAAGCGCTCTACCACTTGAGCCCCAGCGCCATTTCCGGTTTCCTGGTGGTTCATTGGAGATAAGAGTCTCCTGCCTAGCCTGGCTTTGAATTGTGATCCTCAGGTCTCAGCCTCCTGAGTAGCTAGGATGAGAGGTGTGAGCCACTAGCTCAGTTTCTTTGTGGAAGAAGCAGCAGGGCCCTCCCCTCCTCAGTGGTTCAAGAGCTTCACATCAGCACATACACAGCCTGTGGGGCAGGGAAGGACTCAATACAAAAGTAGCTGGTGTCGCTCAGAAGAAAAGAATGAACCTTGGTGCGGGCTGTAGGGCACAGACGCAAATTCCCTAACCTCGCATAGGAGCTCCACACCTGCCCCTCAGTCGCTGTGACTGTAAAAGCAACATGGCTGGGTCTGAGGACCTCCGAGATAGGTTGTTCTGGGACCAAGACAGAGGAATGGCAGAGTTGAATCTCACCAGCTCTGAAATGGGCAAAGCGACACACTTATACCAGCACACTGGAAGAAAGACCAGCGTGGAATAATCTTCATTGGCAGTGACCACGGCTGTCACTTCACATAGCCAAGTCTAGTTGGGGAACCTGGGCCAGGGAAAGCCAAAGGAATCATTTGGAGCATGGCCCAAAAGACGCGTGTGCTTCTCCTGCGCTTTTTGCTGGCTGCCCTTCTTAGTCTGTCTGCTTGCATCAACAATTTTACCATAAATATCCAAATGCCCCCCCCCCCATGGCCCAAGCCACACTCTGCAACCTAAGAATCAGTGGATTTTCCTGAGAAATGCAGTCTTCAGTTTTCGTGAGATCTCCTGATTGTAAAAGTGTTCACAACCAGCAGGATTACTGCTTTCAACAATATGAGGCAGCTTGTCAGTTTCCTCTAATCGCATCTATCCACTGTACTGCTCTACTCCCAGCTGGAACAAGGCTTCAAGATATACTAACACTGGGTAAGTAGTTGGTGATTGAATGAATCCATGCAAAAACAAAAAACAAAAAAAAACAGAAGGAAAGAAGGCTGGAGAGAATGATTAGTTGAGCTGGAACACAAAAACCACAATCAAGAAATGACTGTTGCTGGGAAGTTGGCTCAGTGGTAGAGTGCTTGCCTTGCATGCCTGAGGCCCTGGGTTCGATTCCTCAGCACCACATAAGCAAAAAGAAAAAAGCCGGAAGTGGCGCTGTGGCTCAAGTGGTAGAGCGCTAGCCTTGAGCTGAAGAGCTGAGGGACAGTGCCCAGGCCCAGAGTTCAGGCCCCACGACCGAACCCCCCCCCTAAAAAAAAAAAAAAAAGAAATGACTGTTGCCAGGGGCCAGTGGCTCAGGCCTGTAATCAATCCTAGCTACTCAGGAGGCTGAGATATGAGAATTGTGGTTCAAAGCCAGCCCTGGCAGGAAAGTCCATGAGACTCTTATCTCCCAATAAACCACCAGAAAACCAGAAGTGGCGCTGTGGCTCAAGTGGTAGAGTGCTAGCCTTGAGCTGAACAGCTGAAAGACAGTGCCCAGGCTCAGCATTCAACCACAACTGACAAAAAGAGATGACTGTGAGGTTAGGCCCAGTGGCTTATGCCTGTAATTTCAGTTTTTGCAGAGGTAGAGACTGGGAAGATTTCAGTTCAAGGCCAACCAGAAGTTATGGAGATTCCATCTCAACACATAAATCAGGTATGGTGACATGCACCTGTCATCCAAGCTAAGCAGGTCACAGGTAGGAGGATCATAATCTAAGGTTCACCCTGGGCAGAAATCTCAAGACCTGACTTGAAAATAATATAAAGCAAAAAAAAAGGGGGGGGTGGGGGGTTGAGGGGTATGTAGTTCCAATGGTAGAGTTCAGAAAGAAAGAGAAAGAAAGAAAGAAAGAAAGAAAGAGAGAAAGAGAAAGAAAGAAGGAAGGAGAGAAGGAGGGAGAGAGGGAAGGAAGAAGGGAGGGAGAGGAAGAAGGAAGGAAGGAGAAGAAAGGAAGAAAGAAAGGGGAAAGTCCGTGAAGTATTCTGGGTTTTTTTTTTAACATATTTCATAAAGTACAGGTTAGGACATAGGATAGCAACGTAAGTCTACATCAAGATTACACATATAAAACGTCTGCTTTCATAATCAGAAACTATGAAACAATGAGAATGTCTCCAGCCTCCTGGACAGGCAGTTCCCTAGGGGGCAAGAAACACAGCTCATCCCAGATCACAAAACCTGCTCTCTGCTCTCACGGACACTGTGCCAACTAGTGGGTGGAGATGAGAGGGAATCTCTGGACGGCCTTGCCCCTCTTCCCACAGCCCCAGGAAGCAAGCTGTCAGAAGCCTTTCTAGGCAGCTTCTGAAAGGCCCTGTGCCTGGAAGCCGAGAGGCACCAGGAGCAGGTGTGTAGCACCTTCTTAGCAGCCTTGAAGCCTGACGCAGGTAGAAGGGTGGAGGACACAGGGGCCTGAAATGACAAGAGGCTCTCTTTGAGAAACCACGTGTTGGGTTTGCTAACTTCTCTCCCAACACCATCCCTTAAAACTTAGCCAAGCATGGGTGGCACACGCCTGTAATCCTAGCTCCTCAGGAGGCTGAGATTTATTTCCAATGAACCACCAAAAAAAAAAAAAAAAAAGAGCTGGAGAGTGGAGCCGTGGCTCAAGTGGTGGAGAGTTAGCCTTGAGCAAAAGAAGTTCAGGGACAGCGCCAAAGGCCTGAGGTTCAAGCCCCAGGATGAACACATGGACACACACAGCCTTAAACTTGAGGGGGTGAGATTGATTAAGATACATCCATGAACCCATCCCCTCTGTGCAACAAATGTATGCTAATAGCAAAGGGAAGAAATACATTTGGAGCAAAGCAGATGGAACAAATAGAGGGGCGTGGAACAGACTCCACCCTTCTCCACAAACCCCAGCAAGGTGCCTGGCTGAGCGACCTGGTTTAACAGTTCAACCAGTTCATCGCCCATGGGGACAGCTCAAAGCTGCCTCCAGATGGCCTTTGGGGGGCGGGGGGAAGGGTCCCTTTCTCCAGAATTCTCTTTAAAGCCTATCCGGGCCCTTGAATCTTCTCGGGACTCGTTTCCTTGGCCTCTTCCCTTCCCATCGCCCATCTCCAGGCCCCTCTGGAGAATGAGGTCAGCTCTCCCTCGGGGGCTCCCAGCTCGCCTGACAAGAAGACCCCTGCCCCCCGGTCCTCCCTCCCCCCGCCCCCCCCGGGCCCAGTCTCCTCTCAGGTTTTCTGGGTCACCGTACCCCTGGGCTGACCATCCCATTTCCATCTCCAGTCTCATTGCAATGGCTACCCAGGCCTCAGGACAGCTGCAAACTCTTTTTGGAGGGGGCTTGGGGTGGGGGTGGGGGGGAGAAAGGAAGTAAATGGCCAGCCTCGGGGGGCCCCAAGGCCGATCGCGGAGTCGGGGTCAGGGGGCGGGGGTGGGGGGGCGAGCTTTGGACCGTGGGGACGCGGACGCGTGCTCTACCATATGGGTGCGGGGTGGGGGGGGG